GAGACGGACAAGTTGATTTCTAAATTTCACTTAAATTTAATAAATTCAAATAGTCACCTCTGGTTAGGAACTACTGTATTGTTTGGATGAGACAAGGCTGCTCCACAGCATTCTTATGAATGCTTTGATGAGGGGGAAGGGAAGGGGCTAGAAAGAAAAGCCATCTGACAGTGTCCCTGATGGGGTGAGGGTATGGCAGAGATAGTGTTCTGTGTCTGGGAGATCACTCACTTGTATGCATATGTAGGAAGTCAGGCAAGGCAGATTGACAGGTTCTTTCCATATAAGGTACTCTCTGAAGATAATATAACTGCTGCTTCCACAACTAGAGAGAGGCTGTTCTCAATGGATGGACTGGATGGGTAATTCTCCAGCAGTTCTGCCAGCCCTATTCACACATAACTAAATGGCAGTGCAGGAGTGTTGGTCAGGGAAAAGTTGACTGAAACTGTTCCTATGGTCTTATTTTTTAACTCATTCTTGCAGTGCTGGATATTGAACCCAGGGCATTCACCGTGCACCACATCCTCATATACACCCCCTACTTTTGGGAGACAGGGTCTTGCAAAGTCATTAGTTGCCTAGGTTGAAGTCAAACTTGTGATCTTCTCGGTTCATCTTCCCAGATGTTAGGATCAAGTATCTCCACATCTGGTGTACTTTATCATCTTATGAGACAAAACAGAATCTTATTGTCCCCCTCTTCTACTGGTTTTTCCTCTTTGTTTGGTTTCTCTTCCTGTGCTCTCATCACAGATCTTGGAAATTCCTGAGACTTGGCAGTGTCTTGGCAGCCTAGCTCCAAACTCTGAGGGCCAGGCATTTGTTCTACGGCTTACTTGGCCTCACAGTTTAGCTGTTTAAAGAGTATTTCAAACAAGAGGACCCAAACAGACTTATTTTCCTTGTTGAGCCTTTCTCTTTTGTAGCTCCCATATTTCATAAATTATATGATTTATACAATTTTGGTAGCCAAAGAACAAGTAGCTTGTTTCCCTAACGCAGCACACCCAATCATACAGCCCCTCCACTGAGTCCTCTGCGTTTCCACTACCCCCACCCTACTTGGAGCTTCCATCATATTTCACGTAGACAACTGGGGTAACCTTCACACACCCTCTAAGCTCGCATCCTCCGACACGTAGTAATGCCACTGCTAAAATGAATTTGCAAATTGTTAATCATATCACATCCCTTTCTTGCTTAATACCGTCTTTCCTTTCTCATTCCCTTAAAATCAACTGAAACACTTTACCAAGAATAAACAATCTACTCTGCGGCTCATTGCTGAGTATTGCTCCAACTTTATAATTTATCCCATGTTTCTGCTCATTTTCCTCCAAACACATTGGCCTCCACTGCCCAGCTCTTCTGCATCCCAAGGACTGTTCATGAGCTTTTCTAGGCTCTGATCCTAGGACATTGGCTAACTGGCCAGTGGGGCATTGCTGGGGCTCATCCCGGGGCCCTGCTGAGCCTTTCCATGACTCCTTCCCTCTGCAGTCTTTTCACTGCTGAGTACAGGAGAGTTCTGAAGTCTTCTTTGACTCAAGTGTATTTGCTTGTTGTTGCTTGTTCTTGCTTCTTCTACACCTTTAGGCCCATGAAACAAGGCGCTACCCAGTTTATGCACTACTATATCCTAAACTACCGCCATTGTGTGGGTATGCAAGAGATGTTTCTTGAATAGATGTCTAAATTATTAAAGTGTATAAAGATGAGATTATTGAAAGTTTGCTTTTGAAATTTTCAGCAAAGGGAAGTCATATAACTGTAATTGAAAGCATTGAAATATCTATGCATTTTGACGATTTCTGGGCTAGTTGCCAATTAAACTTTGATAAAGGAATTAATAAATGAAAAACAATCTTCTATTTCTTTGCATATAAATTTAATATTCAATTCCTTGCTCTGAGAGTGATTCACTGAGTCATTCTCAATGAGTCCTGAATCAAAATCAGAATGCCTTCTTCTGCCCTAGAGATTGAACGAGTCCGAGATGGATGACAACTCTTATCAGTCCAGCGCCAGAAGGAAACATGAGCATCTGAAAACTCTGCAGTGTACTCTGTCTACCTCTGTAGAGGCAGACACTAGAGACTCTTTTTTTCTTTTGTGTTTTTGTACTTCAGACTCTATCTCCAAACATGGACAACTTTTTACTTGTGAAAGAGATTTGCACTTTAAGTGGACTTTAGTTTTAATGAAGTCAAGGTATAATCAATTTAAAAGCTATTCATTGTGTAAATTGCCCTTAGGGGGCACTAACTCTCTAGCTTGGCTTTGGTCCATAAAAGTAAAACTAAAACTGCAACTCAAAAACTGTTCATTGCCTCTGAATAACAAACCATAAGCCAAGTATCCTAGAATTAGTGTAGGATTCTAAGCTTGCATTGCTTAAGAAGAAAGTGAGAAGGATATTTTCATGAAGCTAATTTCAATCCGGTATGAGTGTCTTTGGGGATCAACTGTGTCAAAGGCACAGGATTTGGCCACATAGACTGCAGTGCTGAGTCAGCGTAAACTCCTCCTCTCAAGGACTGCAGTCAAGGAATGAATTCGGTTGCCAGATGACTACACATCATAAGGCGGAAGGCAAAACAGTTCCACAGAGAGTGAAAAGCAAAATAGTGTAGAGTTGCAGAGAAGTGAGGAGTTCTCCTTGTGCATATTAGAAAAATCTTCATAGAAGTTTAATCACTTTTGCTAAGCTTGGGAAATTAAGTAGGAGCTGAGTACATATAGTGGGAGGGCATTCTTAGTTCTCCGAGGGCTTGAGGTCAGAAAAGAGTGAGCTGTGCAGGGAGTAATGAATTGGTCAGGTTTTCTCACGGGGAAGAGAAGGGTGAAGACTGGAAGGGTAGCTTGGAACACTATTTTTAGAAACCGAAACCATACCAAAGGCTAAGTGAACATCCCATAAGCATTAGTGTATCATAAGCAGTACAGATCAAGATTTTGATATGAGTAGAGCTGTGGAATGAGGACATGGGAGAAACACTTGACAGGAAAGTTTCTCCAGGGTTTATGATGGTGACATATACAAAAGTATTAGAGGAATTTCAACAGGACCTTACAAAGTTCTCAGTGAAAGAAAATGCGACACTTCAAGCATTATTCAAAATGTTTTGAACTGGTTGACTGGAAGCAGAGTTGTGCCTTTAAAAGAAATGGGAAATAGAAAACAGTAGCTTCTGGGAAAAAAATTATCTATGTAGACTGAGAAGAGTCAAGGGCAAGGCTAATAGCACACAAAGTGGGGAATCACAGGAATAGAATCTGGGAGAGATTCGAGGGCCAGGGATACAGCCCTGCAATCATTTGATGGTCAGAAATCCCATGGGTTGATGAATTTTTCAAAGGAAAAATTATATTGAGACAAATGCACAGGGTGAATGATATGTAATTAGAGGTACTTATCTTTATTGGATCAGAAAACAGGTAGAAGAATAAATAGAAAGAAAGGAGTGTTGAAGGGGCAAGAAAAGTCCAGTGTCATGAAAATCAATGGAGTAGAAACTTTGAAGGGGATAGTGGCCATTTGTCAAATCTGTACCTCAGAGGCTGCAGAATTTGACAAATATAGAAACTTTAAAAAGTTTGTAAGGTGGATCATCTTCTGAAATGAAATGTGGAGGTGGTATGACATGGAGGAAGCAGTATGGGAATGGAAATCAGGAAGCTCGAGTGAATGTCTGCTCTGGTTTGACAGAACTGTTACTCAAAGCAACAGCATTCTCTCTAGGTTCAGGTTTCTGACTAGAACATGGGGGAAACCCCAAACTCAAAAATCGCTAGTGAGATTACAGGTAATGCATTGCTACACAAAGAAGAAGCAGCTGCTGGAGACAGGTCTATTCTAGAATTCCCTGAAATTCATCTTCCATTTATTTTTTCTTAACTTGTAGATAGTTGTGTGTTATAGAAAACCACTACTTGGATTCATGGGTGGTTATGTTAAATTAATCATAAAAGGAATTTCAAACAAGTATTAGTCACCAATCCCTGCACATGCAGAGATTAGTGTCATACAGCATATGGAGCACGGTTTGCTCTTGAAGGGCACACCAGAGCATGTGGTCCTGAGAGAATGTGGCAACTGCTCCAAAGAGGCTGCATGAGGGTACTGCGGGTCCCTGGAGAAGAACAGGGCCGTGGTGTCCATTGTTTATTTCATATCTCCTAGAACCTAGCAAAATGCTCCATTCATAACACGTACTCTGGAAATCTTTTCAGAACAATTAATCGATTCAGGAGAAATCTATCTGTAAGGCAGTGCCGCATCAGACAAAAGAAGAAAGCACTGAGAAGAAACAAAGACTTACAATGGAAAATCATGCAGTCTGATGGAGTGTGGCTGAAAAGCAAGGACACAGAAGTATTGCTGTATAATTTTCCCAAAGGCAGTGTCCTATGCACACCCAAAGTTAAATGCTTCAGAAAATAGGAATGAATGCCAGGAATAGTAAGGAGAAACAAAAGGTCACATGGGAGTCCAAGTCTGGTGAATAGAGAGACGTTGCTACTTACATGTCTTGCGGTTGCTATGAGTAAGTACGGAGGTACAGAGGTAAGGTGATGCTGAACGGCTTTTGTTTTCATGAGCAAGCCATAGGAAAGCAGCTAATACATGCTGCAAGCGACGGTACCGTGACCAGCTTTGCAAATTGGTCTGGACATCATGGTGTGCACGGTGAAGAATGGCATTGAGACTCCGTCCTGACAAACATGTAAATGCAGAGGCATTCTGTATTGAAAACAGATGGTGTCATTCTATTTTAAGTTACTTCTACGTTTCTTTCTCTCGAGTCCATCTCCTATGATACATTCAAATTTACCATGTTAAGCTAGATTTCTGCTGTGGTGTTCTTTTAAGCAATTACATGCCAAATTGACTATGCATCAAAGCAAAATGTGTTTGGTAAGAAATGAGACCCTGTGGCCTCTCTGATTGTGTGGATTATTTACTCATTAGTCTTCAACCTGTAATTGCTTCACAGGTCACGGCACATGTTCCTGTGGTCGCTGCGTCTGTGAGCGAGGATGGTTTGGAGAACTCTGCCAGCATCCACGGAAATGCAACATGACGGAGGAGCAAAGCAAGAGCCTGTGTGAATCAGCAGATGGCATGTTGTGCTCGGGGAAGGGTGAGTATCCGTGCCGACGTCTGGACTGGATTCATGTTCTGACACGTGGGTGGTAGGACAGTGAGTAGCAACTCTTTTCCAGAAGGAAGCTTATGTGAAAGAAAGCCACTGTGCAATTTGCCTGCACCAAACATGAAGCCTGAACTCTCCCCACATGAGGCTGAGGATCTAGGATCATGAAACACCTAAGAGAGCTTTTGTCCACAGAGACTGCCCATCAGCTGCACTGTCTGAAGACACTGCATCAGTGTCTGAAAGGAGAATGAATAGTATGAAGACTAAAGGCAGGGAAATAGACCTGGTTCTAAATGGACCCAAATTAGAAAAAAGCAAAGTGATCATTGTGGCACTCACCTCTGAAGTAGGACAGCCCAGAGCTGCAGAAAAGTGGCAAAAATTATGATGTTTGTAACTTCTAAGGCTAAGTTGCATAGGTGTGTATGTGGAGGAAGAGAGGGGAAAGTGTGTGAGAAAGACAGAAAAGGAGTATATTAGTCCCATAATTCTAGTGCAGTTTTCTTTAACAGAAAAAATTATTTATTCCAAGCAAGCATAGAGTGATAATAAATAGGGTATAATAAATTGTTAAATTTAAGCATTCACCTTATATTTTCATCCCACTTTATGTAAGGAACTCCACTTGAGACACCGCCACAGAATGTGAAGGGGGTTTCAGAGAGTAGGATACACCATGGGTAATGTGTTCCCTAAACGGTGACTAGTACTTTCCCTATCACATAAAGACAAAAATTGAAAAAGGCTCAGGACAACTTCAGCCATCAAAGCAGACGGATGCTGTGACCACCTCCAGTGCTGGGAGGAAGGAAGTGGACACAAACATCATCATTGCAATAGATGTCAGTGTTCCTGGTTTCAGGAATTCTGTGTCCCAGACTTGGGTTTACAGGGCTGGGAGGGGGGATGCCTATGATCTCATGCTGTGACAACAGGCAAGTAGCACTTAAATGAATTCAGTCCCTCTGTTCTCTGTTTATCCTTCCATTAATATCGCTCAAGTTAGGTCTTAAATACATCTTCCTCCAGTTCTCTGCAAGGGCCTCAGCTCCTAGAAACATCTGTTTTGGGTTCAGGATGTGTTGGAAAATAAAAAGAGGGACAAGAGGTTAAAAGGAAATGACAGTGAAAGGCATCGAGGAAGGAGAGATTAATGGAGAAAAGCAGAAAAGTAGGCAGGGATGGGATCAAACTGCAGGGAGGAGTCAGGAAGAAGAAAGGTTCTCAGCTCAGAGGAATGTCCACCATTTAAAGAATACCGAGAGCGATGAACTCCTTTCAAAACTGTTAAATTTAAATGCTTGATTTTTTTCCTTAACTGAAATAAGGAAAAGAGCTTTTCACAGAAGCTCTTCTGAGTGAGGACACACATTCATTAGCATATTCATTTATATGTGTTTGTTTTAAAAGTCAAACTTTGTGTGCATGTGTGTGCTCATGGGCACCTAGCAAGTCTGCAAGTTCTGTAGAAGACACAAAGCTTCACTTGCCAATGTAGTAACAGTCTGCTTCATACAAAGGGGTCCTTTTCAAAGAATAAACATTCTATTCACTTCATTAGAGGCCCAGAAATGATTCTCATTTGTCAGCTTCTTAAATGCAGAAAATATTTTTAAAAGTTAGGTTGATGAAATGTTGACCGAAAGGCATTTCCTCAAAACCAAAACATCTTTCTAGTTAAAGTCTTTACAAATGGTTGGCTTTGGTAGTGGAAATATACCCAGAAATCAATAAAGGATTGAAATTATACTTGCCTAAACTATGTGTTTATCCGTGAATGACTAGAGGGCTTATAGTCTTTAAGTTCAAAAGAGGATGTACAAGCTGCCCTAAGGCTGCACACTCTGATGTCCATGTTGGTTACAGGACTAGTTACAGGTATAGTTACCAGCAGCTGGTTGCAGGCTACTTTCTTTCTTACTGTTCTGGAGATATTAGTGCTGGATTATAGATGAAAAGAGACGCTGAGACCATGAACTTGTGCTTCATGTTAGATACAGAAATGATGGCGATAAAGTAGTTTTTCCAGTTTCCTTGGGGAGTGTCATGGTACACTACCTGAGAACCACAGCAAAAGCATCTTATGCATAGACTAAGGGACCCCAACATGGCAACAGAAAAGGGCAACCTGTTTCAAATCATTTCACCAGAGCTGTGTTTTTCTGATACATCCCATAGATGTGTCTGGATTCTATATGCATTTTCCCAAATTTGTAAATGAAACCTTCTGTTCCTGATGATCAGAAAGGATGTCCACAGTTTTCTTCATCTGATTCTGGGGCAGGGGTGAGGAAGAGCTTGCAATCACCAAGGCACCCCAGTCTGAGGCCCACATCCACGGAAACAACAAGTCTAAACCATGCACTTGCCACGAACTGTGAACAAAGCTGTCACCTCAGGAGACGATGAAGAAATAGCATTTTATTTCTTTACAAATTGATAGCCAAGACAATAAATCACTCCATAGAAAAATTTAAAACAAGATACATTGTTGTGACCTTCATAACAGATGGAGTCGTTAGTACAATAGTGAAAACTGCCTGCTGGGATGTTGGGTTGCAGCATTTTGTCAGGCTTGATGAATGGAAAAGAAAGTCCAACGTTAGTAATGAGGTGGGGTAACTGACAAAGGTGCCTTGCCCTTAGACTCAAACTGTTTTTGTAAATAACCAAGAGAGATGAGCTCAGTAGTCAGATCTCCCCTAAGTTTAGCTACCTTTGCAGAGTACACGATGTAATTCATGTTACATATATTTTTATACTTCTTTAGTTGGGGATTTATTTGAGTCCAAGATGACATAGTAACATTTTACCTTAATGACTTAAACCTAGACCCACGTCTTATATTCTCACTCTTGTGTGACAGTGTCTGTAAATACATGTCATGAAATGTCTCCATGAGCCCTCCCAAACTATTGTTGGGCCCTGCATCATCTAGTTAGCCCAGAGTCCACACACCTGCCTCTCAGTCACCCACCCGGCTGTCCCACACCCAAGAAATAAGAGAATGGATAAACGTTATGCTTCACGAAACCAGCCTCATCCCAGTGTTCCAGCTGCCCCTCCCAGTAAGGCTCTCCCATCCAACTTGCAGCAGCGAACAGTGCAGATTGGAAACCATAGGGAAGTTTTTGCTGTGAGCGACATCATAGCTAGGCCGATTGCTAAATGGGAAGGTAGATCAAGTCAGACTGAAATCTGAAGTTAAATGATGCTTACTGGTTCTAGGAAGTACCCTTATCCCCTTTGTTCTTCCATTCCCGTCTTGGAAGGCAGAAATTGGTTTCTTTTCCCTTGTTAAGTTCTAAGGATACTGTGAAGACGCATGAGAAAATGTGGCTGATTCCCCGGATGGAAGTCAGCAAAAAGCACAGAGAGAGAGATAGGAACATTAAGGGTTCATCTTACATTGAGAAAGAAAAAAATGCATTAATGGTGCTGTGGTTAAGAACTTACCACCCTAGAGCTCCTGATGAGATGAGCTAGCTGTCACCTATGGTAGATTGGGTCTCTGGTCCAGTGAGGCCCAGCCAGCTGAGCTGAACAATTGCTCACCTCTGGGTGGTCCTACAGCCTATGCCTATCAGATAGAATCTTCTCTCTACATTTGACACTTTCCAGAGAGAGACAACTGATCCCCTTGTTGGTTAGTGATGATAACAGCCAGAGCTAAAGAAGGTGCTATAGTAGACCCTAATAACTACTCACACTGTGCTATTATTACATGCTATGCTATTCCTAGTTATACAAGCAGTAGAAGAATTTCCTACCTCTAAGATGCCTTAAGGATTGACAAACAGGAAAGAACAAACAGCTGGGAAAGTGCTGACTGAGAAAAGCTACTGTTCAGTGGCACATACAAAATCAATCCTCCTTTTAAAAAATTCTAAGTATTTTGTAACTAGTAGACATTTGGAACTGGAATGTACTCATCATATGTTCTATCAGTATATCCATATGAACTTTTGCTGAGCTAACCAGTTTTAGAAAAAGACTTTTCTATGGTCTGAAGCTGAGCATTCCAGAAGCATGGGCAGTGAACAGAACTTTTTCCTGGCCAGCTGATAAACTTAAAGATGATATGTGAGATCTTTTCATGAACTGTGACCCTACAAAATCCATCATCATGATGAGTATTATGAATGTATAAAATCATTTAGTTCTGTTTTAGAAAGAATTTTTCAGTGTAAGGAAGATAATTGTTTTAGAAGCAACTAAAAGGAGTAGAATTCTTCAAACAGCCTTCTTTCATTTGTGGAAACAGAACACTAAATATTGTTCCTTTTGAGGCAATTTCTCTCATGATCAATGCAAAGTTCCATATTTTCCTTGTTGGCAGATATATCACTAACCCCTTGTCAAACAGGCAGTTGACTATTGAACATCTCCAGGCTTATGCATTTGGAAAAATTGAAGATTGGATTAAGATTTATTTGTTCCAATTAAGATTGGAACAAATAAATTCCAAAATAAGAGTACACTGTATTCAGATGAGAGGAAGAGAGAGCCACTGGACTTTGCAGAATGACCTAGGAAGACCGCCCTCAGGTTCCCGAGCAGCTAGCAGGTTGCTAATCAGTCAGCAGAACTGAAAGATATCTATAGTTTGCTCACAAGCCTGTAAATCAACACAGATTCTGAAGAAAATAAGCCAAAACTCAATGAAATTATGCTGTAGTTAAGCAAGAAATTAAAAATAAGTGTTACCACTGTTAATTTCTATCATTCTGTTTTGAAGCCCTGCATCATTTTTATTTTTGCTTTGTTTTGTTTTTGTCTATGTTGTTATTTTTTTATTCTCTTTGAAATAAAAATAAAAAGTACTACAAAAATAAATGTAAGAACAATTCTCATAATCACCTAATTCTGACTCTTTCCTTATATTGGAATAAGGAGTGATACAAGTTTAATTAGACCATTGGACATTCTTTCCCCTATCACGTGTATACTAGTTTCCGTATTGTGAAATACTACACCAGACTTCCTGCTTGGGACACATTAATCTGAACCCTTTTATGATATGTGTGTTAATCAGTTTATTGATAATTTTTAAGTTCCTATGTTCCAATAGAAGGACTCAGGATTGATGCCTGCCCCATCCACCTAATATATTTTGAACTTATATAAGTTTGGAATTTTGTCAAGTATGTCACAATGCTTCTACTACTGTACCTCATCTCAAAGTGATTTTTTGACCCGAAAAACTTATCAATAACCATCTGTTAGTACGAAGAAATCACAATTAGAAAGAAAAATCAACCCAAGAAAATGGAAGGACATTCTTTCTGATTTAAAGTTGCCTTTCTTGCTGTTCTGGAGAGTCTTACCATGTGAAGATTTTTTTTTTTAGCCTGTCATGAAAGCTATTTAGGCTGAGAGAACTTTCCTTTGAGACAACACTTAACTCATATATTATTGTTGATTTAAAATACACCACCAATAAAATTATTTCTTAGTAGCTAAGTATTTTAATCATCAAGCAGTAAGTTTTAAAAACGAGGAAGATGGTTAAAAAAAAAGAGGTAGGTTAAGTGGTAGGGTAAATGGTTGAACTTAGAGCCCCACAAACTGTGAACATTGGGCGACAAGATTAGAGCTAGCTTGGACTGTGATGGAGAATCCTGAGGACATAGTAAAAGAATTATAGCAATTTAGTTAACCACTCCCTGTATACATCTATGTGTGCCTCCTTCAAAAAATCATGTAAACAAAAATCAACAATTATGTGCCCAATAATTCAATAGTTATCTTAATTATAAAATGCATCTTTGTTTAATGGAATATACTACTGGATTCCTTTAAAGAATATGCACTTCCAGACTGAGACTCAATTCATAAAAGAGAAACTAAAAGGGGAAAAGAAACCATCTATTCTTTTACACACCTTTTTGAGAGACTGTCTATAAGAATCAGCCACATTCTGTTCTCATTGACATTTCAACCAGACTGGGCCACAGAACATTTGCTCAAGGCTAATTGCAACTGTCTCAATCTATCATGAAGGCTTTGCCAGATGACCTTTATGAATTACAGTAAGTAAAGCTCCCCTCTGAGAAACCAGCTATTCAATAAACTTTTACCTTTGGAAGATGGGTTATTAGAAGCCTATTGTCTGTGTGGCAACGATATTCTATTCTAGATGGAAACCTTTAGTTACATGGTGATGGCAAGTAATGCCCTTTGTGATTTCAGGTTCTTGTCACTGTGGAAAGTGCATTTGTTCTGCTGAAGAGTGGTATATTTCAGGGGAATTCTGTGACTGTGATGACAGAGACTGCGACAAACACGATGGTCTCATTTGCACAGGTGCAGTATTGAATACTGTAATTGTTCCATGCCACAATCTGCAGTGGAGTCAAATGACACCCAGCACACGGTGATTTAGGTGACAAGACAGGACAGGTTCCATATAAGCAGGGGACAGCTGTGAATGGGAAGTAACTATGAAAGAGAAAGTAAGCATTTGTAAATATTCACTGACAGAAAGAATTAAATCTATTCTATGATTTTGGGGGAAATTTCCACAAGGTAACCTACCCTATAAACTGACATATATGAATTAATATATATTGAAAAGAAATCTCTTGAGAATTATTTTATTTTTAGCGTGGTGTGGGAGATGGACTATTATTTTCAACAGGATCCAAGTGCTTACAGCTACTGTGTTGGTTGTTTTCAGGCGACAGCAGACATGTTGGGAGAGGAATCGACAAATAGAAAGGCTCACCTCTGTGATGATCGGTGCTATTCTATTTTGTCGAGCCTTAATAATGTCTTGTAAAATACATTTGCTTAGATAAGTTACAGGGAAAATGAAGTAATAGATTTTTCCCTTTTCATTTCTAGTTGTAGCTAAAAATGAATATGTGTATGGCATTAAATAAGCCATTTAATGTCTGTCACTCTTTTTTTTTTTTTTTTTTCCCAGTACCGGGAATCGAACTCATGAACTTGCACTTTCCAGGCAGGCGCTGTGCTGCTGAGCTAAATTCCCAGCCCCCTAATGTCTATCACTCTTATACAGGGTTCTCTTCTAGCTGTCCACCTGGCTTGCCTCATATTATGTCAGAGAGCTTTATGGTTTTTCAATATTTATTTGTAAATCAGGTACCACTTGTTCTCAAAGGAAATATAGAATTGGGACATGGTAGCCCAGCTGGAGCAATATAGGATAGTTACTACTTGATTCATAGATTATGGCTCCAAATAGGTGTCTGTCATTATTTGAAAGATCAGATTTTCTACAGCTGCTTAATAAAATACAATAATAAGATCATCATACAATAAACTTTAGAGAGGGTGAGTGAAACAATTTTCCTTATGAGCAGTTAGAGTTTATAATAGGATATTTTTTCTTGGTGTATTTTGACCATGATACTGATTCTTAGGTATATTTCATTGCAGGGAATGGAATCTGTAGCTGTGGAAACTGCGAATGCTGGGATGGATGGAATGGAAATGCGTGTGAAATTTGGCTTGGCACAGAATATCCTTAATAATTCCATGGAAGAGGAATGGATTCTTATCTTTCTAGACCATTAGAACATATAAATACCAAGGGAATCATGTATAATCCACCCTAGGACTGACTTAACAGACTATTGTATGTTTTTCTATTTCTGACTTTCTGAATGAAACCTGGCTACCCATTTAAGATGAGTTCAGAAAACTGATATAAATAACACTAGAAAGAACTATTCTTTCATAATTAACACTAGTCATTCCTAAAGGAGGCAATTTTGCCATGTAGAAGACATTCAGCCATGTCTACAGACAGTGGGTAGGAGGGTGTGCTCTGGGTATCTGACAGGCAGAAGCCCATGATAGTGTTAAACACCCTACAGTTCACAAGACTGCCCTGCAACAAAGAATTTTCTGGCTCCAAATGCCCTCAGTACTGAAATTGAGAAGCCCCATAGCACAGTTTTTAGAAAGCCACATTGCTACACAAGAATGGCATGTTAGAATCTAAGAAAAAGATCCAGTCTCACGTAAATCCATCAATCAGATTTTCCTAGGATTTCTTATCACTCAGCATCACCAAGAGGGGATAATGAAGAGAAACACACGAGGTGTGCTGTTGGGTTAAGGAGTCAACGAATCACAACCGCTTCTAAAGGGAAAAAACATGTTCCTATAGCAACTGAGTCACTGTCTCTCTTGCTTTAAACTCACAAAAGAAGATTCTCCTAAGATAAAGGAAGAAATTATGAAAAATGTACAATTTAACTTTTAAATAAATAATCATATAAGTTGTTTATACTCTGTGTCAATATATGCTTACCTATTGAAAAGCAACAACAATGAATTATTATTCAAGGATATTCATTTTGTTTCCTAAACTATCACATTTTTAAAACTGGGCAGTGACTACATGTGTGAAATATCATATTTCTTTCTCTATTTAATGTGGCCTTTTTAAAAAGACAATATTTAGTTAGAAATATGATGAACCTGAAATATGAATTAATTTACCTTAAAAGAGTCATTTTTCTAAAGGTCATGCAAAGAAGGCAAAAACAGCATGTGTAATAAACTGGCATCTATCCCAAAAGCTCAGAAAGGGACCCAAAAAATAGATATGGCTTAAATAGAAATTACAAATATTCAATCAGTGATAGAAAAAATGTTTATTTTCTTAATGGTGGAACTTTGCTCTGTGTGGAAATTCACATTGAATTATGAAAATGTACAATTATTGGAAATTCCCTTACATATATACAGGTAGGTCTACTTACATACATTAGTTTAGGCAACCTTTAATAATATAGAGCTAAAAAAGCACTTGTTTTCTAAATGTGAATTATTTTGTAAAGTCCTAAAATAATGTAGCAAAATCATTTCAATATTGTTTTAAGATGAAAAATTTTACTTGGAAATATTATATTTATGATGTAAATGTTCTGGAGCCATGGCTTGTACTTTATAAGCCCAATCATCAAAAATAAGGAGAATACGCACCCACCATAGTACTTAAAAATTTAATATTGAAAACTATTTTAACCGATGCTTATTTGTATAGTTCTAATATTTTCATAATTTAATAGATTTTTAAAATTCTTCTCTCTAACCTGAGATTAGGGAGTGAGACATATTAGTTTTATTTCTATTATTCAGCATGTTGACTGTTGTACCAGTTTTCTAAAATGAGGGAAATATATGTAGTCAGGAAACAATATAGATTACACTGTTTCCTCTTTTCTATACATACATTTTAAGCCTCAAACAAACCTACTATAACCATTTAATAGCAAATTTTATGGTTTATTTGATGGTGTCCAGAACTGGGCTCATTACATGACTTAGCCAGTATAGTACAAGTGGATCTTCAGGTTTCTTTACTGCGGTCCTCATGCTTCTATAAACAACTGAATAGTAAATGTCTTAGACTTTGTGAGTCACGTAATCGCTGTAGCATGCTCTTTTTTGATTGTGTGCACTGAATATTTTAAAATATATGAAATACAGTAAACAGAAGTTCATCCAAACAGTCAGTCCATACAATCACAGCTCTAGGGCTGGGTTTGGCTCAGAGCTGAGTATAGTTTGGCAAACCCTGCCCCACTGGCACTGCCTATAATTCCTTGTGGCTCATCACACTACCTCAGATGTGTCTTACTTTGTACAATTCTCCTTATGTCATTGTTCCTTGTCACTAACAGCAGCTACAACAAAAGTATTCTTTTTTAAAATATTTTCATTTCAAAAATTTCCTCAGCATTTCTGTATACTAAGAAAAAGATTTTATATGTTGGAGAAGTTATTTTACCTTAAAATTCAAAACGTGATTTGTCTTTATTTTTGGACAAAGATGAAAATATGTACAGTTAATCATGTCCCAGGAATAAATTACAACTTATAGAGCAAAACCTGAGCTATAAGTCATAGAGTACCTAAACTCTAATGCGTACTTTTTCTATAAAAACAGAAATATTTTTTTCACTTCTTTCTGTCTGCTATAGTAATTGTGTGTGTGTATATATGAGTGTGTGTTACACTCTAACAATGCCAACATCAATATATTTGTAAAGAAGTGATTGAATTTTCAGGATTTATATGGAAAGAAAATACAGTTATATGTAAAATTTTAACTTACACCCCTCCTAAATGTGAATTTGTTCTTTGACTTTTGATTGCATTACTAAGATAGAGCCTTCACTCTTTAAAAAGGCAGAAAAAGGACACATTTGTACTCAATGGGGGAAAAGTTTTATTGTAGTTTTAAAAAATTGCAGTGAGATTAATGTCAATTGGGAAAGAGCCAAGAAATTCACTCATGGTGCTGGCACTAACGCTACCTGTTTGGCAAGCCTTCACTGAAGAACACCTCCACAGGACTTTTTATACTATAAAAGTCAACCAAAGTCCTAAAAATAAGGAAAAGAATCATTGTACCTGCCTTTCTGCGCTCCCTGAGGTTACCTACAACCTAGAGCAGTGGCGGTGAACTTCTGGCATGAGTGATGCAGGAGGCTGTCTGCTGTCATTCAGAGCTCTAGAAGGTTCATAATTCCTGCTCTAGAGCACATTGAAAGCAGTGATCTTACCATCACAACTCCAACACAACCTGCCAGGAGACTTTAGAAACAGACTGCATGACAACCAAGGAAGAAACCAAACCAAAATATAAATAACTAAGCCTTGATTTGAAGATTCAACTGTCAAAACTTTGAAACTCTACTGTTTTCCAGAGTCAACCAACTCATGTCACCTTATACCCTAAGAAACCTGAGCTATACAATGTATTTTACTCCAAAGTAAAATGACTTACATTCTTAATTTTGGTCCCCCTGAATTTCGGAAAATGAGTAAGCCTGAAATTAATTTTTCCCTGGATATCCCTTCTTCCTAAAATAAAGTTGAAAATAATTCTTAATTATTTTCATCTCCTTCTAATCTGAATCTCAGTCAATCTCTCTCTCTCTCTCTCTCTCTCTCTCTCTCTCTCTCTCTCTCATCCAACATGAATTACCTTCACAATATCAGGAAGAAAACTATAAATGAAGTAATACATGTGTAACTTAAATAACAAAAAAGTTTTTGTTTTATGTTTTTTTGTTAAAAAAACTAAATCTGCTACTATCATCTTGATAAAATGATTGTTGTAGTGCGTTAAGCAGCAATTAAGCAAGTGGCCGGGTATGATAAAGAAACTCTTATGAGTTGCCAAGGACTTAACAGAAGCACTGGAGCAGGAGTCCTTTGGGCCCACTGTGCATCTGAGCCACCCCTTCCCCAGAACAATAAAAACACACATTTAGAGCAAGAATCTCTAAATTCACCAAGTTTCATAATGAAATGATACTAAATTCTGTTTTACTCTTTACATAGGATGGACCACTTGCATGTCTTCTGTAATTTTTCCAAGTAGGGTGGTAGCAAATTTTAGAAAGTAGACTTATTATAAAAATGGTGGCACTTAAAATATAAAAACTTAACATTTTTGAGTATTGTTGAGGGTGGGCAGAACACTCAGCTACCCTAACAAATCAGTAGGAATAACCCTCCCATACCAGATATGCATGCAGAAAGAATGGGATATTAGAGAGACTTGATGCAATGGACATATGTACATAGAGATACAAAACACGTGTTCTGTAAATACAAATGAATTCCATCAGATTTACTTTACAGAACATCAAGAGTGACAGATTGCACTGAATAACAGCAAACTTAATTTCTGAAGGAAAAAAAATGAAGTCTTATCCTGGAAGATAGCAAGAGAGGTATCATCAAAGAGCTAAAATTTTCTTTGGCATGGTAAAGGGAGATTGAGTTTACCAACTTATTTACATGACATTTCTCTATATATGTGGGTGATGCAATGTCATTTTGTTACATAAAGTTGTTTGATGTTTATTCATATGCCTTCATATAAATATTTTATTCAATATGTTGTATTTGCAAATACAACAAATGGTAGTAAACACAGAAACTGTACAATGCAGACAAACTTCGTATGTAATTGAGTGATACATACCAACAGTTCTTCATACACAGGTTCCTACTACATGCAGTTCGTCGGTGCTGTCCTCTTGCCATGCAACAGGTGAGACGAGACACAGAGTAAATGATCTAACTAAATTACAAGTAACAAGGACCCCTCTGCAATATGTCTAAACATGTATTAGATAAAAGTACTCTGACATCCACTCATCGTGATAAATGCCCTTATAGAACACCCATAAAAAAATGGTAGACATTTACATAAATCTGTCATTTACAAAAATAAATCTTATCTTAATTTTAACCAATAAACTGGCTTGCAAGGGATAAAGAAACCACGAGTAGGCTGATTATCAAAAACATATAGTTGGAGTCATGTGTGTGTTTGTGTGTGTGTGTGTGTGTGTGTGTGTGTGTGTGTAGTGGTGTCAGCAGTGTCTACAAGCCCATCTAATTGGAAATACAAATTATTCATAGTTTGTTGCATATTATGGGATATATGTCTTTCCTAAATAATTGATTCATGGATTTCATCTAATACATTTTTAATTTATCCTGTTAAAAACAATAGGTTTCAAAATGGTACGACACCAAATTCAGAATGGTCAAAGGAATTATTTTGTTGTATTTGCAGTTTAACATTATTGACAGATCTACTCCAATGTTAGCTAACTTTTTTATTTATTAAAATGGAATCCAATATGAAAATGAAATAAGCATGAACATTAAATTGATACTGAACTTTTAATCAGCTAAGCAGGCCAAAAATTTTAAATGCTGGGCAAGGGCTGCCATGGGGATTTATGAAAGCAATGACAAAATAATTTCCCAGTAAATACAGTGCAGATGGGGGCAAACGGCAATTGGGTTATCCTTCCACCTGGAAATAATAAAAGGCCAGTACATTGATCTCACAGATTGTTTTCTGTAAACGAGGTTCGGTTTGGTCTCAATTAACTCTTCTGAGAAGAAAACATTGAATTTTATTAAGAGTACACAGAGTTAACAAATATATTTCCAAACAGTTGAGTACTGAACATTGTGAAGCTCATTACATCCAGTGTTGAACATTTTGCATGGACTCTACACTGGTTAGTCAACTATTTCTGACCCTCGTTGCTACACTCTTCCATAAGCACAGTTTAGCAGTAGTCACTCCAAAAGGAAATTAAGAAAGCAAAATAAAAGCAAATAAACCAGTGGCCCCCAAACCCCATCTTTGAGTGTGTTGGTTTGCCTTTATTTTTTTTATCTAGGATAATTCTGAGATCATGGCAAGGCACCTCTAACCCAGCCAGGGAGCAACTGGGGACCCAGAGGCTGAGCTACAGGTATGTACTGGTGAGGTCCATGGTACCGGACTCAGCATGCTGAGCTAAAAAAAAAAAAACAAAACTTTTTTCCTAATACGTCCAGTTTAAAAACTTGTCATTAAACACCAAAAATAGTAAAGTCTAATTTATACCTAACGTTTGCATTGCTGCTGCAGAAAAGAACTCAACAGCCGCCTTGCCCATGCTTGGCTGGGTATGAGTGGGACGCAGCCCAAAACAGGGATGGCATTAGTTTGGTTCGTTAAAAACAGGAAGGAGTTGATTGGAAATGGATTTAGGTAGCGCAATTCTTCATAGGTGTTAATGATTGATCCCCCCTTTTTTCCCAGTAATGAAGATTAATAGATGAAAAATGAACCTTAATCAGGCCTACGAGGCCTACAGAATTCTTTGGACCCACTTTCTCAAAAACCAGTGGGTCTCGCTCGCTGGGCAAGGCAAATGTTACCATTACCAGTAAGCTTGTGATATGTAGAAAACACACACACACACACAGAAACTAGAGGGCATGTCAAACACATATGCAGAGCTTTCCATGGCCAGTGTTTGACCCTCATCCCCTCCAGCCAATGCCAACCTAGGGAGCACAGTATCTGCTATCAGATAGAGCGTATATGTGTGTTTAATCAGTAATGTGAGTCAGAGACAACATTCTTAATCTTAGAGATGCAATTTGTAATAATAGGTGTAGAAGGCTTCCTGATTCCCTGATTGCTCTCCGAACTAAGCCAACTGCAACATCTCAGATTTAGAGGAACACGATCCCTGCGAAAGGTCACAGACAGTGGAGCGAGCAGCCCTGTAAAAACGAGGAGGAGAGAAATCCATAATAGCACAGTTTTACAGCTCCTAACTAGAAATTACTCAGTATTATTGGTGTGCTACAAAATTGAACTTAAACACATGGATTTTGCCGAAACAGGACTCAAAAAGGATTATGGGTAGCTGTCAGCAGGCAAGGAATCGAGTACTTGTGAAGTATGTCATTCACATGAAGTGTCACAGTCACAGAAAAGATAGTAAAAAGGCATTCCATATCTGGTAGGGCATTCCATGGTCTGAGTTTAGCTGGTTGTCCAGGTATCTTCTTGTGTGGGGCCACAGGTTGAGATTTATCCATTTGCAACAAAGAAGTTCGGGGATAGCAAAGGGAAAGCATTCACGTGCTCCCCACCTGCTCCTCAGCCCCGGGAGAGGAATGTCTGGGAAGGATAAATCACTCAACTGTGCTCAGGACGAGAAAGTCACACCACCTGTGAGGATCTGGCTATGTGGTCTTGCTCTTGTTGACTGGTTTGCCTCCATTCATTATTGCCGACGCGCTTGTGCTTTTACTTGGCGTCACCCCAGTTTTCGGGACCGTTTCACCAACATCATGCAAAGATGGTTCTCGGTACATGGCAACTAGTGAGGGGAAGAGAGGAGGAGGAGAAGGTAACGTTGCCTGGTAACGTGCAAGAATGGCCCACCTGTGCATGCAAAGGAGCTCAGTAGTTGGCCCATTTTTCTCCTCTTCCCTCATGAAAATAATCCCATTGTGTGTGTGTGTGTGTGTGTGTGTTCAGTCTCAGGTTCTTTGGTTTACACACACACACACACACACACACACACACACACGTCAACCATTTAAAGAGAAAAGAAAATCTCTGGCTTCCTTTCCACTGCACACTGATTCAACACTTGAACTTCTCATTTTAATTTTTCTTCTTGAACTGAAGTATTTACACCCTAGGTCATTAAATTATTTTTCTCCCAAGTGGCTCAAAAGCAATGTAGTTACACTAGTGTCAGCTTCAAAGCAATAATAAAGAACTCCCTTTCCTTAAGGCAGAGCCTTCCAGAGATGATTGTTCCGATTTTATTTCCCACACTCATGGAAAGAGAACCTTCAAAAATTTAGGGCAACTGTGTGGCCTTTAAATGTTTTATGCCTCATTTTCTGTTATATTATTAAACCCCCCATAATGGAGATATCATGTAGGGCAGAAGTGGAGAATGGCAGGAGAGCACAGAGAATAATGCCTGAGGGAACTGTCTGAACAGGATCTGGTAACAAAGTCACCATAGTTCCTGGGACATATTAGAAATCGAGTTCAGAGTCCCAGGAAAAGGCTTTTAGGAGTACGTGATGCTTGGGGGAAAACTAGTTGAGTTAAAGCCATCTACCATCAGAAACCCAAGTAAAGAAGCTACCCCCCTGCTTTGTAAGTTGAAAAGATTCAAGGTTATTTTTGAAGAGCCCTTATGTTGAGTTAGCATGAACTACCTGAGGTATCCTCTCTCTGCACGGAGGCAGAATTTTGCCTCATCCATGCATCGGGTGAATTTTCAGCAGCTTGTAGATTAAAAATGCAAATGGACATTGGGCCTATATTAAATGACAAGGTGGTAGAAGGAACTAATCTATGTCCTTGAAATACATCCCACTTTCTCACTTCCTAAATTAGGAAGTAATAGTATGAAATTATTGACTTGGGCTATTTCTTTGGTAAAGTTGCATAAAAGATATGAATGCTCTATCAACAGTAAATCAAGTACCCATTTTGCCCTGACATTTCTAATAATATAATTCACAGTTTGTATCAGTTTTGAAAAGTTGAAATTAATATTATGTGATAACCTCTGTCATCATAGTGCCTACTCCCTCAGTTGCTTTTTTAGTTTCTCACTGCTAATTATTTGAATATATGAGAAAAAGGACTATTTCTCTTCCTCACATATAAACAAACATACACTCAACACTCAGAGACAACAGTTTGATATATGTCTGGAACACCAGATAATATTATTATATTACATCATTAGTATCTCATTATTTCCTACGGGCTCCAAAAACTAACTGCTTTTCACATTTTGCCTCAGGTAAGTGACACAAAGGTCCTTTTCTTTTTTACCATATTTATACAGTTAAGAGATAAAGTTTTATAAATTTAGTCTATTCCTGTCTATATTCAAAACATAATATTAGTGAAAAAAGACCAAAGAAGGTGGCAAATCAAACAAGGTTTTTGTAGAGCTCTTATGGACAGTTTTTTATTTTGTATCTGCATTTGCACATTGGCAAGTCTGATGGAATTACATCAGAACTGCTTGAAAAATAAAGTCCAATCATGGCTATGTTGTTTAGGAAAAACAGAGAAATCCCTAACATTTTATCCCAATTTTCCTTATGATTTACCATTTAATGAAAATCATTCACTCATCTATCAGAGTATAATGCTGGCTTTCATAGGTAGGCCCTAATGGCTAACTGGGCTTCAATTAATTGTTTTAGAGAGAAATTTAAGACTGAGATAAAGTTAAAATATGAAACTATAAAGATATTAACCAACATGAGTAGTTTCCCAAATTTAGAGAAATAAATCTTATACACTCACAGATCATGACAAATTGACTGTTCAAAGCTTCAGATGATCTTAATCCTGATTAGAAAATATATTATAAAACTAATATGTATTTCTCTTGATGGCTAAGGAAATTGAGCTGAACTAGCTTAAAATATTTATTCAGTTATTATAGATCTGATCTTCTGCAAGAAAGTGAACAAAAGTATACGAATAGAAACATCTAAAATATTAAAGTGGGCTTTATGCAGGAATTATTGCAATGGGAGAAAAGAGATCTCAGTATAGGATCTCAGTTCTATTCTGCACACAGACAGGACGGATGGGATGTTAGTTCAGGAGCAGGGATGGAATCAGTGTATGGAAAAAACCCTAAGAGGAAACATCAGAGAGAGGAGCTTCTAGTGAAACAGAATCCTAAAAGGATTCATGCTGAAGACAGGTCAGTGTGGTCAGATATCAAGGGTTGGGTGGGAGGATCTGATGAAATGTTAAAGATGATGAGATCTGAAGTGAGAGATTCTCTCTACAGTGATTGGCAAGATCCTTTCCATACCTGGGTAATACAAGCCAGACACGAGCACACCAAGGTCAAGGCCTGGAAGGTGAACAGGAGCCCGACTGAAGTTCAGGCAGTAGAGGGGCCGTGGGGTTGGGAAGCCAGTAAAACTATGGCATCACATTGGGACCAGTCACGGTTTGAAGTGAAAGGAATGAAATTATTTTAAGTGTAGGTATCATGAGCTCTTTGAATGACAATATGGATTTTCCAGCTAGGAATGAAAATGCCACCAAAACTTCTAACCTGCTTTAAATTTTTAATAAGTTCAATATTAATCATTATAACCCACATATAAAGACCCTTCAGGGTACCTGCTTCAAAAAATTCAAGGGGTCTGGAGATTGAAGTACTGATATGTGATATCCCCAGACAGACAGGTTTTGTCTTGCTATGACCTTGCAAGGGGGCATCTCTAGCACTTACATGAGACCCTGGTGGGGCCTAATTTTTTGGTTCTTGTAGTACAGAAAGGTGACTTTGGTGACCACGAGGACTTTGACTATAGTGAGATTTTCTTTTCCTTGCTTCTGTTTTCATTTCTTTAGAAAACACTTTTGAATGGCCTAAAAATCAATTTTTTGTGGTTCTCAACAAATGTTGCATAGATAGAAGTAAATGACCCTTCTGGCAGAATTGTGAGAAAGGTACAGATGTTTCTAATTACTTAACAGAAGTTTTTCACCTGTTCCTTGGGATCTGCTCACAGTAAATGTGAAGGCTCCATTGTTTATAAGGGATGCAGATAAATTTTTAAAAATTTGTGCATTTGGAAGGAAACATCTGATGTCCACAAGATCTTTAAGGGTAAAGTTACTATTACTTTGTTTTTTTAAAATTATAATTCACACATATGTAATTACTGGTGCCTAAATGACTAAAATGGGAAAATACTTTGGATTCCATATGCAAAATTTATTTTTACTATACTTATCATAAATTTGTAATAACATCAAATATATAAATAAGTTTTTCAATTAATGAGTTAAAAGTACCTGGAGGTTGAAGTGGTTGTGGCAGTTAGGATTAGAACAAAGTATCCCAAAATATATCATCAGTAGTACACACACACACACACACACACACACACACACACAGTACTTGAAGGACACAGTATTTCTTCCTCCCTCCCTTCCTTTCTTTCCTTGTGGATTGAACTCAGGGCCTCACACATGCTAATTATCATTGAGCTACACTTCCAGCCCCAGGAAGCTTAAATGAACAATTTAAGCATACATTTGTGCAACTACCATCCAGATCAAAGTAAAGGGCATTTCTAACAAAAAGAATTAAGCACAAGAAATGAGACACTATGAAGATTCCCTTTAGCCAGGGCAGACTCATCAATGTAAAAACTACACGGGGTGATAAATCCGATAAGCATAATGCACACACACACTCACCTTCCAATGGCTTGGGTAGAAAATGAGCTGCTGGTTTGGTTTTCTTTACTCTGTTTCCTTTCATAGCTTGCCCCTCCTTATTTAATCCCAAAAACCAGGCTCTACCAGATTCCTGTTGTCTGTACAGCATGGAGGAGTAGATTACATAATAGTTTTCAAAAACAGACTCTTTAAACTTGCATTCAGGGGTAAAAAGTTCCTGTTGAGAGAACAGAAAATGAAAGTTAGTGGAAGGAACTAAATTTTCACAGTGCTTTCCACTTAAGCACGGAAATTCACCCAGCATGGTGAGAAAATGTCATCCCTCTGGCAGAGATAGCTAGATATGCTTCTCCTGAAGTAAACATTTATCTACTTGCTCCTTTCAAAACAAAAAGAATTGAGAAGAATATGTTATATTGGGAATACTTGTACCCAAAGTATGGATGTCCTTTAATAAAACAAATAGAAGTCATAAGCAGGCCAAATACTTTTGGTAAAACAGCAGAGCTCAACCAGATTATAAACAGACAGGGATAATTAAAGAACCATATATATTCATAATAAAGTAAACAAAAGTAAAATGTATGTGTCAGATATTTTCTAATCTACACAATTTACATATTTCCTTAGGCATAATCCTGTGATACTCTTAACAATTGCCAGTTGTTATTTGGATCAATGACATTGTCGGTGGACACATTTTTCCTATAAAATATTCAAGTGAAATTTCAAAGCAAATCCATGACAATCAGCAGGTACACAATTTAGCCACCGGAGATTTTGCTGTGTGACCAGCTGAGGCCAGAAGCCATGTTAGCTAATCACAGTGACAGGAGCTGAAAGTACTTAATTTTCCCCGTTAAATACCCATTGTAATGCTAGAAGGTCAATATCAAGAGCTGCACTGAAAGAAAACCACATAAAGTTTTCAGAAGAGTTAAGCCTGTTAAATACTACTAGGCTCAGCCATGACCATCACTGATTGACATACAGCAAAAGGCTTACTAATTTCAGATTATCATTAATACCACAAATACTCATAGATAATGATATATAATTCATAAAAATTCTTATTGTGAAATGAATGATAATAAATATGATGATTAATATATCCATAAAAATATATAAAGTTGCAGTCTACATGCATTGTGGTAGACTCCTATTAAATGTAATTTAAACACTGAAGATCCTAATACATACCATGGAAGACAGGCAGTTTTCATCAATGTTTTAAATAAGCTTAACAATGGATTATTCCTTATATACATGAAACACAGGTGCAAAACAGCTTTATTATCATTGATTACTTTAATAAAATCACTGAACTCAAAAACATACACAGATTTTCATTTAATCTCAATATATTTTACAATTATAGAAAATAAGGTCTGTTTTTCTTTTTAAAAAATATGCATAGATTCTGAAAAACCATTTAGGATCTCAGCAATAAAAATCTCTAAGGTGAATTTATACTAACTATAATAAAGAATGTGCTATAATTATACATAGTAACTCCCTTCCAATGTTTCCCATAGAGTCACTAATCAGATGATGCTTTTAGCAAGATGCAATTTATGTGCTCTGTAACTAACAAATTCACTAAGAGTAAATAGTTTTCCAAGGGAAATGGATCTTTCAAATGGAAGATTTTTTATGACAGAGGTAATAGATAAATCTATCAATAAGATGAGATTCAAAGAGTCAGAAGATAGGTTAGTGTGATCATAAGTAGTGACCTGTCAACTTGATTTAAGAACTGCCTAATGGATTAGTAAATTCTGGTGTGTTCATGGACCCATGACATGTAGGCCAGCCAACTGATAGGGGAAGAACTAACTGGGATGTGGGTGGCATCAACCAATAGATTTGTAGCTTGGACAAAATGAAAAGGGAAAGGAAGAAGGAAGTGCCTTCACCTCCTTTTGGAAGAGCTTCAGTCTTTGTCATTGCCTTTGAATATTGGTCTTCTGTTCCTCAGACTTCTAATACACTCTTCAGCTGCCTAATGCAAACTCACAAGTTGACTCTACAAGGAGCTTCTAGGCCTTGTCTGGGTCTCTAGTTCTCCAGCTCACAGCTGGCCATTTTGTATTCTTCCATCTAAATCCTGAAGATGGTCATTGGCACTCTTTTGCCTCTAATCCCACAAACCAACACACATTTAATATTGAATCTGTTCCTCTAGAGAGCCACAACTAATACAGGTAACCTCCCACCAAAGCAAGTTGTATAGATCTTCATTTATTTCTTCTAGATGATGCTACCTCAGGCTGAAATAAGATTCCATTGAAACAAATGTCTTGGCTTTCCAATTAATTCTAGTTCTCCAAGTATCCTTCAACTAAGTCTAAGGTTCTCACTAACAAACAATACATTAGCTGAGGCAGTTTTTAAGACTTCCTTCAGAAAAGAAAAAAAAAACCTGATGAAGACAAAATGGAGTGCTATAAATTTAGCTTATCCCCAAAGACCATACTCCTTGATATTGAACCTTCTATGACAAATAGGTGAGACTTTGACAGGTGGCTTGTCTTTTCATTGAGGCTGGCCAACGCTTGGATAAGCGTTCTATCTACTGGTTAGAATCTGTTTGAAAACCACTGAGGAGTGAAACAGGAAGAGTCACTCAGATAGGTCACTCAGAAGAGTTCAGTGAAGATGGCACCTGTCTTCTAGGGCATGGGTTTTCTGGCCAATGCCTGCTTCATGCTGATGTGAAGGGATCACTAATGCTCATTCTTTATTTATGGACACCAGCACCTCCTATTAAATGTAATTTAAACATAGTTCTGAAAATATAGATGCACAAAATAGTTTACATCTCAGTTTTGTCTGACCATTTCTGCCTCATGTACAAAACATGGTGAATACTTCTTGCGTCACTGTCAGCAAACTCGGAAGGTAGTGTCTTCACTCTGAATTGACTGATTTGAATATGAAGGAGAATGAAGACTGTAGGTTCAGAAGGGGTAATTTATCCCAGTGGATACCTTAAGGACTTCTGATCCCAATTCTTCTCAGCTGTATGTCTGCATTTTAGGATTTTAAGTCAGTCAATTTCACAGCCTCTTTTTGTGATTTCACAGGTATGCGATTCTGTTGCTTTAAACAACTAAGAACCATTGCCTACATAATGAAGGTACAGATTGATTGATACATTTTTAGCATTTTTTATTGTGGTCTAAACAGTTAAATCATATACACAGAGATTTGAACAAAATATTCATAGACTTTATGTCTAGTAAATTTTCTTAAGACTTTTCAAGAACTTATTCTATTCCTCAAAGAATTAAACACAAGATAATGGCAGTACTCTCATGAGAAGCAATAGAATGAGAGTTGAGGCACTTACTATTTATTTGGTATCATAAGGGACAAATATATTTCCATGTGTGCAAACAGAAAGCAGCAGAACAACTGAACACTGTCTGTGCAGCCAGACCTCCAGGGTTCAATCATGGTTCTGCTACTTACTAGCAGTGTGTACTTGGGGAAACTGCTTAATTTCTCTGGGATTTAGATTGTCAGAGGACAAAAAATATAGGCTAATGAGATAGTTGGAAGGATTGGCTGAATATATGTTAGAAGAGCACTGGCAAAATGGTAAACACTTAATAATTATTCTAAAGTAGACCCAGTATTATGTACAATAAAAAATGTACAATAGGTGTTTTGATTCTATCAGACATCTTGACTCTATCAAAATTCCAGCAAATCATTAGTTAAGGAGCACAGTAGTATACTAAATGTTGGGCTGACCATCAGATATACCAAAAGAATAAGACTAGTCATTAATGTGATTTTTAAAATAAAGGACAGTGTTATGGTAGACTTGCATTTAAAATGCTAGAGTGATTATAGGTGGAATAATGGTATTGTGAAAGATGAGCAACAGAGAGTGTCCTGCTCTATTTTGAGAATTTCATTTGTGCAAAGCTGCTGGCATTGTGGAGCCAAAGTGGAGAATGCTGTGGATGGGAAGACAGGATTGAGAGATGTGATACAGCTTCCTGTACATCAATAAACAAATTGTACCTCTTGCAAATGAAAGGAAGACAGGTAGCATTCTTGAAAGAGCAATGAAATGATCACATGACCTGATTAGAATTTTTTAAATATGAAAGTGTTTGCAGTGAGCAGAATAGGGTTGAGAAGTTTAGTGCTGTTTCTACATTACTCTGATGACTCCTGGTGTTCTGCAAAACGGACTAAAAAGCTGTTTGTAAAATGTGTCTACGTGTGTTTTCAGGTTAATTGTTAGCATTAACATAATACATGCAGAAGCAAGGGTGCAAAGTAAGGGAGAAATATTCCCAGAATTATGACACATTATTCAATGGAGTTTTGAAGTCCCTGGTAGCCAGGACAAAATGAGAAAAAAATATTATAAAAACTATTCAAGAGAGAAAAATCTTTCTCTTCTCTTGGCACTGACTTCTAAAAGTTATTTCTTTACAAAGGAACTATAAAAGTGACATTGATCATCACAAAGAAAAAATGCCCTTGATAGAAGATACAGTAAAAATTTTGGTTCAAGTCCTGTAATATGTTTCAGGCAGACTGAGTGCATTGAAAAAGTCCAATAAGTGAAATTTGAAATAATTGTAATTGAACAGATCTCCCCAGACCATGTGAACATGAGGGACCACGAACCCAAGTGACTCAGGAGCAAAACGAGGCAGCCCGAACACTCGGAGGACGAGTGCTCAGCGCCTGACTCAGGCTCTGCCCCCGGGGAGACAAAGACAGCGATGGGTGTAATAGTACAGAAGCGGCTGGTTCATGTGGGAAAATGAAAGCCTTCATCATGGGTCTTGTTTTTGAAAGTAAGAAATCCTAGTTTCTACATAAAATCTCCTTTTCAGGTGGCAATTCTTTAATATTAAGTGGGCCAAGGGGTTGAGCAGACCGAGAGGCTGAGATGTAGGCCTGTAGGCCTCCTGCTGGAGACCTGACTGGAGAACGGATAGAAAATGACTGCAGACAAAGGGAACCCAGGTTGCTCCTCAGTGCAGCTACAATCTAGTTTATGGTTTTTACACGCTTGCCTAATATAGTGATTACGACAATAAAGCACCCTAAAAATGGCAGTTATAATATAAAAATGCTTATTTGAATTTAGGCTTACAGGTAAGCTCTTTGAAATTGCCAGACTGTGATACATAAGGTATTTGCCGCATCTTTTTTCCTCTTTCCTTCTTATATTTCGATCCAGTG